TTTTAGGCCCAAGTACAAGTACATCCCCTCATGTACTTGCCGATACCAATAGTGCTTCTGCTTAGGGATCACGAGGTAAACTATTTATCATAACTTTTTTTGAATCTTTAGTTCTACTTTGATTGTATAATGTACCTTGTATCTTTGTAGTGATCTTTTGTAGGATGCCCTCTACCACGGAAAACTATTTGCATGACTGTGGACTGATAGAGACTAATCCTTTCCCAGTTTTAAGAGCTTCAGTAGCTCTTTTTCTGAGGTCCTCCTGAAATCTCCTTTTGATTTTGGCATGTTGCTCATTAACAGACTACTGTAGTGAAGAGCCGGTAATTCTAAATGCATGATTTTATATATTGTATGTCAGTGAAGGTCAGACCTTCACCTGAACTGAATGGAACACTTTCCAAGATGTCATTAGCTTGGAAGTTAACATTTTTTCCATCAAGTACATCAACTATTTAAATCTTTGTTTTAAAAAGATAAGTCAGCGTTAAATGCTTTCCTCCTATTATGAGTTAAATAAGATGATCGCTTTTTTTTGTACTGTGACTCTAAAACGATCAAATCACAGCAGGAACAATTTATGCAGAAATCCTAAAAGTAGGTTCAAAAGGATTTGCAAACTTTTTGGTACAACAATTAGAAATATATTTCCTTCCATTACTGTGGAAGGCTTTTGTGGGCTTGAAAATAATAGTTGCCCTGTTTAAAAATGTTTCTAAGTGTCACTCTGAAAGCAAAGCCATTTAGTCCACACTTACTCGTTGACACTTTGGGGTCTATTCACTAAGCAGCCGTAGGCAGCCGAGTGAATGACCGACCTAAAGCGAAGTGAGCCGAACGCTGTTCGGCTATTCACTTCAGGCTGGTACGGCTGCCTTACATCGTGTGGCTTCGGGTCGGCCGAACATGCTTTTTCTTTTTTTTTCTTTATTCTGACACGGAGCCGTGTCAGAGTAGAAAAAAAAAGAATTTTTGGCCATAGGAATGCATTGCTAGATTCCTATTGGCTATTTCAATTTTCAATAGCAAACTAGCTATTGTACCCGCCTTCTGCTGCTGTCAATCAGTAGTGGGGACCTGATGGAGAACTGCAGCAGAGGGCGGGTGCAATGCTAGTTTGCTATTGGCTATTGCAAATTGAAATAGCCAATAGGAATATAGCAATGCATTCCTATGGCCAAAATGTTTTTTTTTTCTTTTCTGACACGGCTCCGTGTCAGTCAGAGAATTTCTGTGTACAATAATAGAATTACTGACTGTAAGGGAATCCCTGCATGTCATAGCCTTTACTTGAGCACCAAAAGTAATATTTCAATCAGTATGTATGGGCATCCTTAGCCATTTAGAAATTTCTGACTTTGCAGATCTGCTGTTTTGATAGCTATTACAGTTTTTCCATTGTATGTCTATGTAGTTTTGGAGTACTTTATGACTTTTGGTGGTGTAGCTTTGATGTACTCTTTATTGTCCTGTTTTTGTTTTTTGGGAGATACATGAATTAAATACTTGGATCAAATAAGCCCCCTTAAGGTTTACCTAATATGAGAAATATAAATCATTAAATCAGACAGAAGTCATGTACTTCCACAAAGGTAATAAAAACTATATCAAAGGTACTGCATTTTTCAAGGGAACAAAGTTGAAAGAAATGGGAACGTACTAGCTTGTTAAAGACCATTGAACTTAAGCCTTAGTGATCTGTTGTACAGTGAATTATGACAGTTGCCGTCTTGCATTTCCTTCTTTTTTAAAAGCACGTCTGACTTGATATTTATGATTCTGCACAAGGTTCAGTAAAACCTGCTTCCAGCTATTCTCCAATTACCTGCATACAAATAATTTCTAGCCTTTTTGGTTTCTAGTAGTTACTGTTACTATGGTCAAGCAATGTAAACCAGATGATAATTTAACATTATTTGGCTCTCCTAATTGCCCTCTTTCTTGTAGCTGTCTTGGTTTTGTGGCCTCTTTATCTGTGCATAGTGGATATGTTTATAATGGTGGATACGTGGATTAGACTGTCCCAGCAGCACACAGTGGTCAAGATGAATTGGAAGGAAAAACAATATTTTGACATTCTATCTGTTTCTTTAATGGCTTTGTATACTTCTGCACAGAGTTTTAAAGTGATGCTGGCACCTGTATTGGCACAAATTATATAATTTCACTATCAAATGTGCATTAAGTTTTATTTCTGTAAGAAACTTTCTCTTGTTTATTTCCATTGGAAAAAGCAAACATTTTTAACTAGTCTTGTGTAACCGTTGTCTATGTTTTGTCATGATAATTCTCTTTTAAAGTGTTTGAAATGTCTGATTTTCAGTTCAGTTAAAGGTGTCCATAGAAACTAAAAAGTGCTCAGATGTGCAGACAGGATCTGATCGCCCTTGGGCAATTGAGTTGGCTACAGGGGATCCTAAACATGGACACTCACTTCCGATGACTAAGTCATCATAAAATACATGATCATAAACAGTGACACTGTAAAAATCAGAGAACAGAACCAAAAAGCACTATGCACATTTGAGGACTTATTGCACTCAATTGCACCATAAATTATATTATACAATGTGAATAATAACTTTATGTTGTGACTAGATAACTATGATGTATGGCATGTGCTCTAATCAATTTATGTATTAAAAAAAAGTATAGAAACAAAGAACCAGAGGTGAATTCAAAATATTCTAGCACTGTTGAAGATTGACAGTATAGAAAAAAATACTCTTCCAAAAACAAAATACTGGGCAATTAGGAATTCCCCAGTAAGGGAATAGTCTCTAGTGGAATGTGTAGAGTCTATTTTTACTAACTTCTACCCAGTGGTAAAGTGGACAAATGCCACTTCCCGCCACTATATGGAGCCTAGGAGCATAGGAACCCGATTAATAAAGTGTAGTAGTGGGAGGATGGGGAGTGTGATAATCTGTGCTAGGAACAGGTGCTGACCAAACCGTACAATTAACATCCAGTAGGCTAGTGTTTATGTTATTGTTTTGTGTTCTAATTTCCCTTGAGGTTTTGAAGCTGAAATTTTAATATATTAAAGGTATACGCCTATAAGGTGATTGTTAATAGAGTGTTCCATTGAACTATTTACACATAGAATGTAATTGTGTGGTCCAAGGAGGCCTTTTGCCTAATTAATCAATTTTGTATTCAGGGAGCTATGCTGATATACACCTCAGCATTAGTGGTGCTGTTTTAATATTTTATTTTTTATTATATATGTTATTAATCAATAAATATATTTTAATAATAGATTTGTATTTTTTTGTTTGTAATGTAATTAATTCACTAATGTGACACCTTAAAAGCTCCATTTGGAGGATTATTGTTGTATATATAAATATAGGGGTGTGGTTTCCTGTTCTCATTTGGCGGTTCAGACTACACACATTTTTTGATAATTTTATTTACATATTAGTTATTTAGCAACCTGCTACAAAATCATGCAGAACTTTAAATCTTAGTTCCCCACCAACATACTGCAGCAGCTTAAAGTCCAAACCTATACTGAGGAAGTTTGCTTTGACCTGACCCAGAAAAAACATGCAGAGGAAGTGTTCCAACTTCAGTCTGACTTTGTTGATCTGCATACTTGTTCCAGGTGTCCAAGTATTAAAGCCAGAGAAAGCCAAATAACTAGCATTTTCACAAGGATGTCTATAACTGTAGTAATGCAGTAAGTAAAAGATAAAATGGGGAATAAAAAGCAACAGAGATAAGAATGAAATACTCGGATACAGATGACATTTTGAATATAAAAAAAAACATCTAATTTAAAAGGCACCTGTCAAGATACTAAGGTAAGAGCTGCCATTGTTGACTGGGTTATAAAGGTGCATAGTTCAGGGCTGTCATGCTAATCCTATGCTACCTAGTCATTGACCTGTAACTAGCATTTGTAACTCAGATGACTGGAAAGTGTGCTTGTTCCAGATTAGAGACATGTTCACTTTACAGGCGTGAAGTGTTAGTTGCACATTAGTAGATTTATCTTCATTAAACACAAAGCAAAGTGCTCCCTACTGCACATATTAGTCACTAAGGCAGTGATTAAATAGAAGATTTACTGAAGTCTTATGTGCAAATCTTCTTTCATCTGGATCCATATTTAGACTTGGCAGAAGTGCTCATCACATCCTTTCCTCCGTATGATCTCAGAGCTCCTCAGCTGTTTTTGGCCTGCGAATTTATGCAGAAATCCTAAAAGTAGGTTCAAAAGGATTTGTATATAGACATGAATGTGCTAGGCAGCTTTTACCATATTTGACTCTTCAGCATCAATACATTCTATGTCACAGACCTAACACAAGATTGAGAAATTCATATTTTTGCTGCAGGTGACTTAAAGGTATTCAAACCAGTATTGGCTAGGCAAATAGAGTTTTCCAGTGATGGTCAACAATGGCCGCCTCTGTATTTCTTTAAACAGGTGTACTCTAATTTGAGTTCTTTGCCCCGATGGGTAACATTCCTACAGTGCTCTAAGAATTTAGAATGCGGCCGAGGCCAATATCGCAGGCTCTGGATATTCAGCCTCATCGACAAATCATAGGATTTTTTTTTTTTTACAGCATACAGGCTGGCAACCATCCAGTAAGGCTACCGTGCTCAGTGATGTTAATAGCTGTCCACATACCCTTCTGCATTAGTTGGGTGCTTCAACGAGAAAAAAAAGCAGTGGTAACATACTGCAGAGCACATGGGTTGGTACCAACAAAGAAGGTAGCCACACACTTATGATGACGCTGTTGCTATGAAAATGCCATCTCTTATTTCTAGTGTGTATAGCTGATTTCAGTGAGGATAGGTGACACGATTTTAATTAAGAAAAAAAAAGATGTGATCAGTAGATACAACCCTGATCAGGCAATGGGACAGACTTTTATATTTTGTTATGAAATGGTAAATGTTACGTCCTATACCACACAACATACACCTTGCTGTGCTGATTGATTTAATAGATTCATTTAATGTGTTCTTTCTTTTAGGTTTGGGTCTTAATCCGGCCATCCCTGCCTTACTTGGGAAGCTTTCCGTCAGTGCTGCCTTTAATGTTGTTTACATCTACACTTCTGAACTCTATCCGACAGTAGTAAGGTAATTCTCACTTGTTGAGTATAAACGGGTGCATGATTGGGCAAATTTGGGCATTTCAGAGTAAGTTGAATATTACTTTGTTATAAAATTTAGTATGAAATGTTGGCAGGAAATGGGTGCTACGTTCATGGCCATAGAGACGCCCTTAAAGTGTAATGGTGTGCAGGCTATAGGCATTTATACATTTACGTACAATCAGTAAATGAGCTTCAAGCCCTTACTGAACTTCGTAGCTGCAGGCCCTGTTAAGAGATTCATTCACAACAGAAACCATTAAGTAGTTTTCTAAGCCAGCGCTGCTCTCGCAGTGACTTCACAGACTTCAGCCTTTTTAAGCTTTAATGTAAACACAGAGCAGGGTCTCTGGGAAGTAGGGCAAGGTGAACTGTGCTGCTGATGGGGCTAACTTGAATGACTTTGATGCTTCTGATGTAAACATTGATGGTTAATTTCTCCATAGTACATGCAATACAGAGGTTAGTGAGTGCTTGCTTCAAAGCTCATTTACTGATTGTTAAGAATATGTAAATATTTAAATGTCCAAAGCCTGCCCACCTTTACACTTTAAGGGTGGTTTTATGTCAGCTTATGGTGAATAAGTTTATCAGTGAATGTTAATCTTTTAAAAACCTTGGTTCTACGTATGGCTTGTAATCATATGTGCAAAGGAGGAGGCCATAATTCTTGCATATAGAAGCTATGGTTCGTGGTTGTGCCTTGCGAATGCGTTTTGTGTTAGACAGAACCCATCTGGAAGAGTAATACTAACAGAATTCTGTCTCTGCAGTCTCTAATGACATGACACAACCAATGCTCCTGATCATCAGAGACAATATGACCTTTTTCTTAGATGTAAGGCACATTAGGTAGTTTAAGAGCATGGTTTTTGGCAAAAAATAGGGAATACTGACAATGCGTCTTTATTTATTTGTGTGATAGGTCTGTTTTAAAAATTTTACTGGATTACTTTACTTTAATATCCTTTTCTGCACCAATATGATAATAAAAACAACATGGCTTACAGACATTCTTCTATAATGTATTGGGAGTTTAGAAATTTACTTTGACTGGATTTGTTTCCCATTAATACATATTTAAACTTGACTGACGGCAAAGTCTTTTTGATTGGTGCAAAGTTTACAAGGAGCAGAAGTCGCTGACTTTCATCTTTTAGTAGCTTTAGATTTACACAAGGATAACGTACTGCTGTGTACTTAATGCCAGTTTTTTCCCAGTGGCTAAGTGTTGTTCAGAGGGCAAAAGTTTTGAAATTCAGTTAAAAAATACAAAAGTAACATTATAAGCTGTTCATGATTTATTCATAAAAGTCTTGTTACTAAGATGTATATATCTTCCTGTGTGTTGTTTTCCCTGTCTAATTTCTATGACTTGGGTATGCCATCCACTATGAATTTTACTATTGGATACTGTTTTCTGCTAATTAAATTATGTAAATTGTAACATATTACCTACAGTCACATTAATATATATAGAGATCTCTCTCTCTCTCTCTCTCTCTCTCTCTCTCTCTCTCTCTATAGTTCAGCCCCGGTAGCTCAACGATATACATGGTACTTCCCTGTGCCATGTAGAAGCATGTGATTTACCAGTGTTACAACGCTAAGCTAGTCAGCACTGTGATATGGGGAGTCCAAAGCCTTGTGTATTCTACAGCTTGGGTGATTTGTAGCTTATGCATGATTTTTCTTTTGCCCTGTAAGGGCAGCCAGGTCATGTGGCTATCATGCTAGAGGAGTTAAGCTGACTGTAAATGTGGCCATGCACTATTATATTATCTTCCATTCAAACTGCAGTCCGAACGTAAAAAAAAAAAAGATTCCTCTATACACGCTAAACAGCATGGATCGATGAATCTCCCTCTGGGTTATTATATTCTAACAGCAGCAGGTGTGCCACTGTCAGAATACCTGAATGGTGATGGTAGCTAATTGGCTGCCGTCACTGTTCATCGGAATATTTTCAGACGAGTTCCTTCAATTTTCTGATCGAAGGATGTCGGAAGGAAGGGTGGCAACATGATTCACCCACTGAGTGAATTTTGGCCAGTTCATCGAGGACCAGTCGAACTTCATACAGTGTATGATCAGCTTTAGGCTTACTATGTGTCTTCTAGTTATTAGTGCTATTATGACATTTTCTGTTCATCTCTGTACTTCTCTCTATGTCTTGTGGACATGCTTGCTAGAATATGTGGGGGCCAATTACCGCAGATGTGTTTAAAGCAAATATTAACAGTGAATTTACGAATGATGGAACATTCCAATCTTATAACCTGTGATCCTGCATTTATTTTCTTACAATGATTATTTTAGCAATAGTAGATTTCCAGAAGTTTTGCTTGAGTCATGTTTTCCAGAACAAAATTAAAATAGAGTAAAACACAGATGGCACATACCGTATATACTCGAGTATAAGCCGTCCCGAATATAAGCCGAGGTACCTAATTTTACCAAAAAAGACTGGGAAAAAGTATTGACCCGAATATAAGCAGAGGGTGGGAAATGAGGCAGCTACTGGTAGATAGATACCAATAAAATGACATTAATATTTATTTAAAAGAAAAATAACCTACTGAGATGCATTTCTAGCGAATCTCGGTTTTAATCTTCTATGCCCTAACAGTATTCCCATATATTACTTGGCAAGGCAGTTCTCTCTGCTTGTGTCTCTATTGCCTTGAACCATTAGATAGCAATCCTGCAGCTCAAGCTGCCATTGGTTTAATTCCTGTCTCATTATGCAGTGCCTGTAAAGCACAACATAAAACATGTTGCAAAAGCAAATAAATAATGAAGTAACAGATTTCTGTTTGTGCCGCACTAGAATGTGCACAATGTCCTATTGGATCCAGACACCGTGCCAATCATCTGCTCTTTGTAACTCTTTAGATGTGACATAAATTGTTATTGACTTGAATCACAATTTACATTGGAATGAGAGCTCCCTGTTACTAGAAACTTAAAGCAAGCCAGGCAGTGGAGAGTCAGCAACTTTTAAAATTCATTGCTCCAACACAACATGCTGCTTAGAGAAAATCCTTATGTCTTGTTAATTTATGTTGCAGCAATTATGAAGCCGTATAAACGTTAATTTGGGAGCGTGTTCCTCTTAATCAAGCATTCCACTCAGACTGTCTGCTATCATAGATATTTCTAGATAGACAAATCACCCTTTAGTGTTTGGATATCCTCTTATGAAAGGTTGAACAACTTGTTTAATGGCAGTGAATAGAAAGGATCTGCAGACATGATTACAGCCTCTGTGACCTTTACTGCTTTCAGAGATTCTACATTTGTTCTAATTGGCAATTAATTTTCTCAGCTTTTCCTAAGTAAAAAGTTAGCAAGTATAGGATAAGTACAGATTAAAGTGTATGCAAATCTAAGTAGCTAAGTGTCCATTAGTTCCGTAATTTGTTGATGGAAATGTAAATAAACTTTAGTTTTCTTTCTAACCTTTCTCATTTTGTCCTAGCTGAAGATGGCCATACACTAATAACATATCCCTTTATCCATGATAAACTTCCAACCTATGTTAGAATACCCCAACAGTGACTTCAACTGACTGGCTGCAGTTGCTATTTGACCAACAAGGAATCTGCAAAATTCCTTACAGTGGGTGGCCAGCTTAAGTCTTCTGCACCACTACTTCCTTGTCTGATGCAAGTTAACCATGCTGGAGCAGAGTAGTAGTTTGATGTGAACCTACCAGTATTCTAATAAGCCTTCATTAGTTCATTTCTGACATAATATATATTTCTCACGTTATACAGAAAAAAGCACATTTTCATCATTAATATAGCAGCCTGTGAGCTTCATTGAGTGACTGTGCCTACACCTGAGAGCAGCATTCTGGGAGAATGTCATACTTTTGTTGCAGGTAGGAAGAAGCATTATCTCTGCTTCCCCAATAAGCACTGGCTTTGCTTGTTGTAACATTGTAATGTTTTGTCAAATCACAAGGTAAGAGGCAGCTGCAGGGGGCTGATCGGTGTAACAGGTGTACACACCGTCTAAAAACTTTTTTTCTTTTTATAACTTGGTATAGCTTCCACAGTACAGATGCTCACATGTAAGTGTAACACTTGCATGTGGTTGCAGGTAGTCACTGACTCTCGGAAAGATCACAGCACTCTCCCTGAAATCCTGTTCACTTTCCTTTATCTCCTGAAGGCCAGATGAAGATGCCAGCCAAGACATGACACAATCTTGTAAATGCTGATGCCCACAAAGTCTGCTTACTTATTTAGATAAGGTGCCTTGTCGGAAAAGATAGAGCTGATAGTGAACTGAAGTACATGCCTAAACACATATTGGACCATTTATAAAACTTCTGAACGTTAAATGCTGTAAATTACTTGTGGTTTACTGAAATACACATCTTTCTTAACTATACAATTCCCAGAATAGTGAAAAGTGTGCGGCTTTGTATTTTATATAAAAACAGGAAAAAATACTTGCTTTGTAGGAAAAATAAAAGACTAGAGACTTTATCACTTTGCTCATTTATTGCATCTTAAAAGAACAACCCCCCCCCCACCACCACCACCACCTGCTGCTGCTTCCCTTCCCCAGGCTCCCCTGCTACTCCATCTGTTAGAGTCCTAACCTTGAGTAAGGTAATTGTATGGTGTTGAATATTACACAAGCTTAATGACTTCTTGCCAAATAAGCCAAAATGCACCACCCCTTTATCCTAAAACCCCGGTGTTCACTCCGGTCCGCTCATAGTCCTTTTGGAACATTGAAGAAAGCCAGCACACATCCTTGTTGCATGTCCTTGCAAATGTTTATTTCAAAGTGAACTCACTACTCCAGATAGTCATTCTGGTGCAATTCTGCCCGCAAAGAGGCCTAGTCAAGAGCCCTCTTTGTAGGTAAAAATGCATCAGCATTACTGTTTGGTGCAGTATGTTTTCTTTGAAACAAACATTTGCAAGGACTTGCTTTTGTGTTACAACTTTGTGTTCCTTAATAACT